ACAATAAGTTTGGTTGATTTAAGACTGCACGGGCTCAGAGAATGAATCTGCGCTCAAATGAAAGTATACAAAACACTTGAATACCGAAATTTATTCGCTAAGGTTCTCGATCTAGGAGTATTCAAAACGACAACCTTTTTCCAAATAAAAATTATGATAAGACAATCTTACGAGGGAAGTTATAGAACCAGAGCTGAACTTTAGTTTAGGTATGTAGCAGGGTCAAATTCTGAGCATAATTTGAAGTAAATTTGCTCGACGATATATGCTAACAAGAAGTCCTTTCGAAGACCGTCGACGAAACGTCGCCATAATTTCAAATCACAAAAAATGAAGGTTTCTCATACAGATCTGGTTCTTATACCAAGCAATGCGCTTGAATTTTTTCGATTGCCTAGGTGCTGTTTCTTCTGAATTTTTTTTCAAACACGAACGTACAGTTCATATTATTATGGGGGTCAGCTTAACAACAGTATTGGATCTCTGGTTTCAACTGGACTTTACAAACTTAGCCGAATAAGGGTGCCATATATAGCAAAGAGGAGGAACTCATTCATTATAGAGCGGAGCAAATTCGATGCAGACCCTTTCAATTTGCAGATCCTCCGGAGCGAGCTGCGTGAGTACGTCCTTGAAATTCTGGCATTGTCAGGGCAGCAACTAGGATACACGGGACAATTTGCAATGTGTAACTGACTGCATGGAATGAGAGGAACACGGAACAGAAATCTCAGATGAGGTAAAGTTTCAGTGAACTATACTGATATTCAGTATAGTTCACTGGAACTCTTGAGAGGTGTATCATGCGTTGATATCCACGTGTGCTTCACACTATTACTCCGTTTCGAATAGATTCCGGATCAGCTCGTAATACTTGAAAGGCAGTTTCACAAATTTTGAGCGGGTTGGTCTACTTCAAGCGCCTAACACAGAAATCATTGAGTTGAAGTATTTTTTGAGATATCATCAAGAACAAAAATGGAAGAAGAAGATTCAAACTCTTGAAAGGATGCTTTCAACAACTGCTAAGAGCGTGCTTCAGGACGAAATACCGTCGATTCACTCGCACACTCCGTTTCGATCGAAATTAGGCCGAACCGCTAGCATAAATTGCGCGCTCACAGCGCTAGGGGTTCGAGCTGCGTACAATCTGCCCCAGTCGGGATCAGGCCGAACCGCCGGCTGAATTTGCGCGCTCGCAACGCTAAGGTTCTGCGCTGCATACGCGCGCTGTCGCAGAGAGCGAAGAGATTGAGGAGAGAGCAGACTGGCTAGCCGTAGACGTGACGCAATACCCTAGCGACACGGGTTCCCGCCATGCCAATTTTGGCCTGGTTGGGATTGGGGCAGACTGTATGCGCATTGTTGGAGAGAGCGAAAGAATGAAGAGAGAGCGGACAAGCAGCAAACCGTAGGCGTGACGCGAAACTCTAGAGACGCGAACTCCCGCCGTACCAATTTTGGCATGATTAGGATTGGGGCCAGGGTCAAGCGTGGGGTGCGGCACGCCACACCTGGGGGGTCGTATTGAAGAGTCAAAAGGGGAGGGGGTCGTATTTGGGTAATCTGATAATAGTGATAACATGATATTCGTATTATATCCATTATTAGCATGTCAAATAACCCCTTTAGACAAAGTGTGAGCGAATTTTGAAGATTCAAGATACTAGGCCACCTAAGTGAAATGGTCAAATTCCAACATGGTTAACTTTGTTTCAAAGGTGAATTAGGTTTTCGCACTCAAGACAAAGCACTACTCCTTCTTATCCACCTCAGGAATCCCGCTTCAGAAGACCTCCAAACTATGTTCCAAACAGTCCCATGGAATCTACAAGGTTTAGGCTATCGATTCATATAAATACTGTCCGCTAAAATTGTTTTTTTGGTATAGTTAATGGGGTGCGGCACACCCCCTTAAAAGCTGCGGCGGCCGCAGCTTTTAAGGGGGTGTGCCGCACCCCATTAACTGTGTCATAAAAACATTTTTAGCAAACCGTATTTATATGGATCGATAGCCTAGATCTCCTAGTTTTTACAGTAGTGATTTGAGTCTGATTCGTTTTCTTAGCTCTGAGTAATATTTGGTGAAAGCACAGCCATTAAAAGCGAAAAGTGGGAAAAATGAGATTTTGGTTGGCTTCTTATTCCACAGTTTGGAGTCTTCTGAAGCGGGATTCCTGAGTTGGACAAAGAAGAAGTATTGCTTTGTCGTGACTGCAAAAACGGATAGCTAATTCACCATTGAAACAAAGTTAATCATGTTGGAAGATGACAATTCACTTAGGTAGCCTAGTATCTTGAATCTTCAGAATTCGCTCACACTTTGTCTACAGGGGTTATTTGACATGCTAATTATGGATATGTTGCCCATTATGTTTGGCAGGGCCTTCAAGTAATGCTATCTTAAGTGTATAGTTCAGGGGGGGGGGTCTTATTAGAACAGAAATCAGGGGGGGGGGGGTCGTAACCAGCGATCGTATGCCACACACCTTGCTTGACCCTGATTGGGGCAGACTGTAAATCAATGTGTGAACCTGCACACAAGCGCGGCGACCGAACTTATTGGTTTCCCGGTAAAATCTTTTTTAAGTTAAAAAACTTCAAAAGCGTGTCCTATCAACTAATGGAATCCAGTTTTAAAAAAATTGGCAAGGAAACAATGGGAAATCATCGAAAATGGGCAAGATCTAATTCTACAAGTTTGTCAAGTAGCGCGCATGGTGTCCAGTATGCATATTAAGTTACAAATGACTCGAGGATCAAATTTGCAGTCAAAATTCTTTTCTATTACATATGGAACCAATTTAGCCTTCTTGAAAGGAATGCGCTTAACTATGGTTAGCTGAGAACGTGCAAATATGTAAGAAGTCCTCTTAAATGATCATCACCACTAGTAAAAATACCAAGCTTCTCTGATTGGAATGCAGACACTACTCTAATTGAACATTATGGCTCTTTGGAATATTCACTCAACATGACCCAGAAGGGGTCGTATAATCTTGTAAGTTCTCACTTTGTCAGTTTAGGTAAATCTCATGAATACAACGTTTGGTGACACCTATGCAAAGCTTCAACTAGCATAACCTCGGGTCGGGATACTGTACTACACGTTGGGATCATGAATCGAAGAGGCAAGATTATGCAGAGATATTGGCTTAGATTTTTCAGCAAAGAGATTTCTGCAAAGGAAAATTAAACGGAATACGGGGAGGCCAAGTGACTCGTGCTGCTCGTTATCCAAAAATTTATTGTTAGTTTTATTGAAAGTTGTTTCCCTTACTCAACGAAGCTTAAATTTGACTCTAAAGTCTTTTAGTGTGCTGGTTACTAGCAAGATATTTTCGAAACGTACTTTGTCTTATATATATTTTTGTGATTGAACAATTTTCGCGAAAACTCTAGCATGCTACTAAGTGTAGGGTAAGTGTAGGCCCTTAGTGAACAAGAATGTTACGAGATCAGTACGTGAAATAACCTCAATGCAATTTTCACAAAAATTATGATCTTGAGTTTCTTAGTGACTACAGTGCTCACCGTATCTCGGTCCATGATTGTTTACTGCGTCAGTTTTTTCTATGAAATCAAATACGGGCTCGTTGACACCCAAAAAGGGGCATCTTTGATTTTGGAGTATGCAAGATTCATGTGATTGTGTTTGATTAAGTTACTTTTGCTCAAGTTTACAAGTTGGGTCTAGAGCTTCGTGTTCTGTTTGATTCGTATTTTCTTTATCTTCTCTTGCAGTTGAGGACTGGCTGGTCTCATTTGTTTGGATCTTCTTTTTATTTCTTTTCTCATTCTGGGGCACCTCGAGTGTATTTATAAAATAAAATAAAAATAAAATAAAATTTGTTGTATGTTGTGTATGTTGTAATTCCACTGAACCGTAGCTACGTTTACCTATCTCCAAGGAAGTTTCGTTTGTGGACAGTATGACATAATTAGTTCTTCAATGCGCAAATTAGTGACGAATCAAGCGTTCATGAAGTGGCCATCATCTCCATACATTCACCAAAAAGTAGAGAAGAGGACCCGAAGTTTCTACAAACGTTTTAGTCTCTGAAAATTTACTTGGTGCATGAGACAGTATCCTAAGCTTTTTTGGCCTATGCCTTATTAAACCTCCACTTTTCTGCCTCACAAACTGCGCTCAAATTCTCCAAAAAGCAAGCCACTAAGGTGATCTTTGTCGCTCTCACAGTCAAGTACAGTGACTAAACCTGAACGTACTTTGTGCGGAGACTATTGCACAACGTTGCGTGTGGATTGCCAGACTCACGAGTTCCAAATGCAAATTTAAGGTGAAACAAACTTTAGCTTCCGTACCCATTATAAAGAGTTGCTTAAAACCGACTCCAAAGTATATTGTATATCTGCTTATCTCCTAAAAATCGGCTGCTGATTGTCCTTCTAAACACCTTTATTAGGATCAAATTTTGACGAAAATCTTTTTAGCCTTGAGTGAACGCCTTGCAAATATAAGAGAATCTATTGGTTGGCTTTGCTCTGCTTTTTGTCTAGTTTTGTTTTTCTATTCGTAGAGATCTAGCTGCTTCCTAGCGCGCTTTACTTTTTGTTGTTCTACATTCATACAATTATTTATTTGTCATTTGTTATGTCATCAACAAGAGGGCAAAAATTTCTTGTTACATAAGAACTATGGACTGCTTTGACTAAAATAATTTTCGCTGTAGCAATTGAAATGGCATCAATCTTTTGAAGTTATCTGTGCTGAAAATTGTTTTTTTTTTGCTGGTAAAAACGCCTCTGCCCTTTTGCTCGTGCTTTGCTGAACTTTGATCTTATGAAGACAGAATCCGTCTGGTTACACTTATTGATCTAGACTAGACATTTTTCAAAGTAATACTCTCTCAGTTAGTTTTTGCAAGTATCATGTCATGTCCTTAAGAATGTTTTGTTCCGAATCATCCTATAGATTGGTTGTTTTCTTAACTGTTGCGTACCTTTAAACTGATCACAAACTCTTTAACATTATTCCAGGTAACTCTGATCATGTCTTGTAGTGACAGCGAGGCTTATAATCACGAGTAAGTTTACCATCTCACCAACAATCTCTGAGCCTATTTAGCATTTTTGGAACTTTTACTTGCATATTTGAATTCTTCCAAAATGCATGGACATCAGACCGCATTTTTTCATTTTTTTTGCAGCTATGACCTTCTGGTCAACAAAGGCTCACGAGCAAAACATAGTAGATCCACTAGGAACTCTCCTGAAAATATAATTCTCACCAAAACCATCTACGACCCGCACAATGCTCTCAGCAAGGTAAGGATACTTAGAGGAGTTTTAGAAGTTTTACTAACCCGATTCAGAGGGCTCAAAATCGCCTTTTGGCTGACGACTGCGATGGTGTGCACGCTTATGTGCCGTATTCTCTAAACAAACAACAGAGATGGGAGGTGAGCTTTTAGCCGGAAATTTTTATATTGGGGTTATTTTGATGAAATTTTCCTAGATCAACCCCACTACTCTGCTTCGCAGGCAGTCTTTCTCGAATCCAGAGATATACGTGGTCCAGCAAGAAGTCAGCCCACTTTCATGTAATGATTTCACTTATCGTTTTTATTTATGACTTGGAGACTTAGATTTGGAGTTTTAGCTCATCCGACAAGTTCTACAGTGACGAGTGTTCGATTGTTAAATGATGATGGAGTGATGACACTGTCTTCGAAAAGAAGGAAGATGACAGTAGGCATTTTTCTCATAGGGCTTGCTTTACCTGACCATTGTCTTGATTAGCTAGACTACTTCATCAAACGTTTGAAAGAGATCCAAGAATCAGAGGACTGTGTAGAGAACGCAAAAATTTTGTACAATGTTTACACTCAACCTCTTCTGCCACAAAAGAAAAAACGGCAATCCAAAGCAGGTACACATAGCTTTTTTTGAGAAAGTTGCTTGCAACAGATTTTTTTAGAAAATAAAAAACGGGTCAAAATCAACGAATCATCATTGGAAGTCTGCAGCGACAGCGAACTTTCGGATTCTTTCCAGGAAGTTGGCAATGAGGCTTCTTTAGAATCTACACAACAAGAGAATAGCCCTCGGTTAGTATATTTAGGTAGCAGTCTTCGGACATATTTTCCATTTTTGTAGGATTATCACCCTTGGTGACTTCATATGCTCCGAAAACGCTTCAATGTCAGCGCAGAGAACGAATCCACCCTCAAAAAGCAGCGAAGGCTCAAGTTTTGAGGTTGTCGTTTGAAAAATTGGAAGTGTTGATTTTGACTCTTCAGTGTTACTTTTAGATGATCAGGCCCGAAACAACACAGCTACTTGATATATCAAAAGTAACAAATGCTAGTCACATTTTTGAAATTATTGATGTCATTATAAAAGGTTTCGATTCTTTCAATCTTTACGAAGAGGTCAGTAGTCCTTCTCAAATGTAAACTTTGACAAATTTTTACTAGAAATTTTCTGGTATGATTCTTACAGGTTAAGCAGCTACTTCCATTCTATTGTACTCTACAGTGTTTTGATGATGAACGAGTGTCGGTGAGAAGTCGACCAACCGATAGACCACTTTTTGTTCTATTTTTTGAGACCCTCAAAAAACAGAGGAAGCTTCGGTGAGATTTGCTTCAACCAACTTGAAAAATGATATTCCAAAGATTCGAACCTTGCATTTTTTTTCTAGAATCCGAATTAACACTTCCACTCCATATTCGTCCTCAGCTACAAAAGAGAATCTCTTTGCAATATTTCGAAGCGTCAGAGGATTCTCTGGTATTTTCCAAGATTTGCTGGAATTCATTATGAAATCGGACGTCCCTGATATGGAATACAAAACCAGATTTTACGCATTTAAAGAGTTCTTTCTTTCGAGCACTAATAGCGAACTGATGGCAGCGGCTGTAAGCAACTTTTATCTCAGGTTAGCAAAACTACATGAATATTTGGGTTTCAGAGTGTACGAAGCAATGAGAGTGATGAGTTAATATATGTAGATTCTCAGTACTGTCCAGATGACTTCGAGATTGTCGAAATGGAGGTAAGCCTATTTTTCTTCTGGATGCACAGAGGTACTTTTTATAATCAATTTAGACTGATCCCTTCTGCGCCCATTGCAAGTCATCCTTATTTGATGATTTATTTCAAACCGTGAATGGACTATGGTGTAGGGAGTGCATAGCCTCTTCACTGCTCCATCAATTACGACTGAATCAGTTTCCCCTGGAAATACCGGTATTGCAATCAAGCTACAATGCATTGAATTTTCTAAAGCATTCACTGAGGGAGTTTTCATTGAATCGTCGCGACGCAAAAATCGCTCCAAAACCGTCGCATCGCATCCCATAAGTTGCAACACTTTCTCATTTTAGTCGATGTTCCATTGTCCCTGTCCGTTGTCGCTTTATGATAACTAAGAATGTTAAAAAATTATTTTTTGTCAAATTTGTGCATGCGACTGTTTCTTCGCAATTTTTTCGTCGCAGCGATTCAATAATTATTTTAGTGGAATGTTTGGTGATTTTCGAATCCTCGTATTCTCACCAGCTTTGCAAAAATCACCGTCCGATCTCATGAAAATTACCTGATTTTGAAATCCCAACGCTTTTGTCAAAATTAATACGCCGCAGTCCATCTTTTTTTTACGGGAGATAGGGATTGTATGTTTGAATATTCCATCCGAAAGTGTTGTTTTCAGCTCTCAGCTGGAAAATATTCTGCTATCTATCTCCTTCCAGCTATTCTGCCCATGCCTGTAGTCTCTTTAATCATAAGGGTGAGTTGTTAAACGATACCATCATCAACTCATATGCTTCATACTCAAAGAACGAACTCAGATGTCTTACCGGTTCCTCTACTCGCTGGATCATCCTCAGTCTGTATTTACGCGATGTCCAAAATGCTCTCTTCCTCACACAGTGCCAGAAATAAACGGTGAGTGATGAAATTTTTTTTGTGAAATCTTCGGAACGGCTAGAACTTTTCTAAACAGATTTCGACGCATGCTCATGCATCTATTGTGGATGCTACTGGTGCTATTTCTGCGGATGGGAACCACATTGGCCTATGACTTGTACAGAATATAGAGAATGGGAGAAAAAATGGAGCACACAATGTAGAGTTTTCTTTGAGAAATCTCCCGGTCCTTCTCTAATGATCTGCTTATTGAAGATCTCTACGAAAAATTCTTGTTGGACAAGAATGAGAAGCTTTTACGCATACCATGCTGTTGTGGTCGTGATTTCTACGTAGGTTTTTCATTATATTACGTTGGCCCGAAAGTTCGTTCGTGCCACATTCAAAAACTCATAACTTCTTACTTTCTTGGAATATTTGCAAAATTTGTTTTTGTTTGAAGTAGAAAATCATGCATCTTGCAAAAGCTTATGAAAGATTTCTCAACAAGCAAATTCTGCAGAGATAGACACTGTGGAACAATATTACTCAGTTCTAATTTTTCTGTGTAGGGTTTTCAAAAACCTAAAACTTGCACTAAAAGGAGCTTGTGCTATAAATTTTAAGATCTGCTCTTCCTATGTGAGAAACTATTTGGTGGTTATTGAACGTTTGACGAAAGTTGTAATTTTCGTGAAAAATGCCAAAAAAAAAATCCTATTTGCTGTTTTATACTGCTTTCTCGAGAATAACTACTTCTCAAAGAAGAATTCAAACAACACAATTTTTGTTTAGACAGAAAGGGCACACCATGAACTATGACACCAACTGTTCCGTTCTCGAGCACTTTCTTTCTTTTTGGCAACCCTACACAGAAAAAGCAAAATTTTTTGCATTTTAGAAAGCCTTTCAAATGCTCTCTTGTAAAGCGCATAATTCCCTCATTCAATTAAAATCAAAGTTGTATAAATCCTTTGAGAAAATTAGAAGCTACGTTTTCCTGAAAATGGTGCGAAAAAACCTCTGAACATTCGCCCAACCTAGCAAAAATCCACAAGCACAGCCTAGTTTTGTTTAGGCTCCAGAGAGAACTGCTAATGGTATGAAATGTCCAAACAGGAAGTGCTGTTATCGCTATGATCGTGGCATGTGTCGTGATCCATCTGAATACTACCAATGGTTTTGGGAGTACCGAGCCAAACGCCACCAGAGGGGCCGCAGAGGGGTAACGTATTGGGTTAATAGAAAATAATTTTACTGGTACAATCTAATCTCAGGGCTATGAAGCCACACCAGATGTTCTGGAGCCAATGAAGCTTATCAGGAAAGAGTTTGCTGAGGCAAGATTGATTCGTTGAGTTTTTTCTATATAAGCTGGAGTATCCAAATTGCAGTTATGCACATTGGTTAGAAATGAGAGATTTAACGCGTCGAAGAAAAACGGGTTTGAGAAAGCCGCCTCAAAAAGGTTTTCTGCCGACGAATGTCACAGCATTATGGAATTACGCAAGATGGTAGGTTCTGTTGGATTGGAAGTTTGATATTGGGCTCAGAGATTAGAGCTGCTCATTTCAAGGCAAACAGTGCATTACCTGCTCAAGGCCCCTTTAGTTTTGAATCGGTACATCATTTCATATTTTGCCGAAGCCGAAGTAAGTGGGTCTCTCTCAAGGCTTTCAAAAACACGACGACACCGTAACATTAGTCTAAATAAGTATTAAGTTGTTAGCGCTGTCCAGTTTTTGTATAGTAATGACTTTGAAAAGTTCAATACCACTTGACGGTGTTTCTCCCTATTTTTTTTTCAGTGGTTATATGATTCAAACCAAATTTCCAAATGCAAGGGCAGATAGCACACTAACAATCGAATTTTATCTATACGGAAATGAATAAACAATTCAAAAATACTCTGTTTGGGAATTCGAAATATCATTTCTCTTTTGGACCTCAATTTGCGGTATATATGACATGTATTGCTATTCAACTTACGTTGGATATTCAAGCTTGTTGCGCTTCAAAAAACAGGCTTTTGATATTTTCTGTCGGCCATCTCTCTGCATGTTTACAAAGAGTTGTTTATTTAAGCAGATTTTGAAAAGCTGTGATCTAGGTGATCTGAAATGACTAAAATGTAGCAGAAATTTGTTCTGCATGACAGCTAACATCGTTCTTCTAAGCTGCTGGGATGAAGCTTTTTGAAATAGGAAGAAATTTGGCGTTTTTGTAAGACTGTTCAAAGAATCGTGGTTTAACATCGCTGCTGCTTAGATGATCAGTGAGCAAAAGTAACTTTCCAAAAAAGCAATTTTTTAGTCTTTTGCTTCTCATAGCGGCGGACATAGTAAGAATTAACACACATCTCTAAAAAGTACTTACTTAGGTCCTTTTTGTGGTCGAAAACTGCACTGCTTGGCTGTACCTTCATAGGCACGAGGAACAGAATAAATTGAGGAAAGCTGTCTTGAGGCTCTTCAAAACATATACTACCTTTAGGGAACAGATTCTTAATCTAGGGTAAGCAACGCCCTCGCATACTGTAACGTAATGAATGAAGTTGTTTCAGATGCGAGCTTACGGTGGGCATCAGAGATGTGCAAAATTCCATGGAAGAAGTTGTAGCTTTGTTCCGCCAACGTTTGGAAAACGAACGGGACACAAACATTGGACAACTGTTGCGCTTCCAAAAGCTTGACATCATCTCTCAGGAGAATAACCAAACGGAATATACGGAGCCCAACACCGAGCTTTGGAGACCTCGCGAATACATTGAGAAAAACGACTTCATCAAATAGTCCTGATATTCTGGAATGCCTGTTCATTCAAATAAACAGTGCCTGCTGGGAATCAGTTTTTGCACTAGACGCTATTTGTGGCTTATAAGCAACAAATTGTTGTTCGATTTGATTGAAAAGAATTCGAAAGATTATGAAACTTGGCTATGTGGAAGGAGCTTTTTGCTTTCAAAATTTACGAGCGACTTTGTTCTCTTACATAATTGTCCGGACTATATAAGCAGATCTTTCCATGATCAGGGCTAGTCATTGTGCCCAAGTAATCATTCCGGTGCTAGGCGCTATGCTCTCAGGAAAAATTTAGTGTATGTAACATCAGAACTGCGAATTTTGATGCTTTCGCCATGTTCTCAAAATCGATTTTGGACACCTTTTCTATTGATTTTGGCTTGTATTATACTCGCAGTTTCGAAGCACTGTTTTCAAAAATTTGAGCAACTAACAAGTTGTCGAGTTATGGGACTCCGGATTTATCATGTTGTCTCATAAGTTCAAGTACTGATGAAAATCTGCTCACATCTAATTTTTGATCAAATCCAATACAACTGTTCGATAGAGTGAAACCCACTCTATAAGCTGGTCAAACATTCTCCAAAAGTGCGATTTATGTGAAGTTGAAGCGCCTGAGATATCTGAGCCCATCGGGATTCCATTCAGTAAACCCTAAGGATCTCTAACTTCATGTACCTCCAAAGTTGCTGTATCTCTTCCATGTCTAGAATTCGGTGAAAAATTGAGCCAAGATCTGACTCCTTTATTGTTTTTCAAGCGCAAAATTTGGTATTTCTCGAATGTTAAAGCTCATAAAATTCTGAAACTTCAAAGTCACGCATACAAAAGTTTATATATGACTTGCCTGTATAGAAACTCTTCGGGTAACTTTGACGAAACCTGCAACGATTTTCTCGATTTCTAGCAGTGGGAAAAGTGCAGCAACTGCGCGTATGAATGCTATGATGTGGAAATACATGCTTGAGCAGATTAGAGATCCGTACAATTGCATTTATAGCCATTAGGAACTGTTTAGGTTTCGACTTCAAATTGTATGTGAATCCAGCTTGCTGCAAATGTTTGAAACACCTTGTAGAGCTTACCCTCATCAGCCTCATTCCAACTATGTACTTCGTTCAGTTGAGGGGATTAAGCAACGAATCACTAAGCAAGACGGCATTTTCCGAAACTGATCAGAAAAGAGTAGTATATAGAAAGCAGAGTATGATAGGCTGACATATCATCTGGTTACACAATAAACGGAAAATCAGGCAGAATAGTACGAAATTATTCAACACAAAGCATCTCCACGAAGAGGCATTAGGTGTTCTTGAGTCACCGGGTGCAAGCGGCTAACGGCGCCCTCACATAAACGGGCTGATCGGAGAAGTGCGATTAGCTCTAGAAGAAGGGCACCGAACCAGGGCTCGGCAAGGCTTGGTAAGCAAGCTTGATATCGTTTTTGGTACAGAAGCAAAGGGGGTTTCGTTTTCTTGGCCGGAAGGACACAAAATTTGCGACGTTTTTTTGGTGGAAGTTTCGTTTTTTGGAGAATTCTTTTTAGGATAATGGCTTAGGGTCAAAGGGGACTTAGTAAAAATTTGGGAAAGTCAAGGGACACTTCGTTTTTCGCATTATCCAAAAGCCACCTCGTGTCGAGGCGCCGAACCATAAGAATTATAGCTCAAGAGACAAGAAACCAACGAAGAGAAAGAGTAGCAACACACGAGGTAAAAAGACGCTGGCCAAGAGGACCTAAGAAAAGATGTAGAAAGGAGTAAAAAGCAATAAAACCATAGAGCTTAATCAGACAAAAATGATTTGAGTCTGAAATGAACAGATACGAAAGTCAACGCAAATTCTAATTGTTCTACATATTTCTTGATTGAAATTTTAGTGTTTTGTATACATTTTTTGAAAGACAATTGGCCGGAAAAATTCAAGGCGATCGTCCGGTGAGCAAGGCGATGGAATACAGATTTGCAAAGACCAGGCTATCGTTATATCAAACAGGCCCTCATTCTTTTTGTCTATATAGACCGTTGAGATCGAACACAAGCAATGTGCTTACCACATTTCAGCTGTGTGCGAGCAAGACTTTTTAAAAGCGATTAAACAGAACTCAGATCGAACATGAACCAAGCATAATCCTGATTTTGCATAAGAAAAGCAATCACTAGAAAGATTAGTCGTTTTACGAAGACTCTGCAGCTGTTGCAGGTTCAACATGAAATTTATTCAATGACATGCGAGCTTTCGTGGTTCAATGTTCTGTTAGAAGTGATTTCGTGTACGTTGGCTATGAGGCTGAGCTTCATTCATTCCTGTCAGGCAGTCTGTACAGTTGTCTCGAGAGAGAGAGAGGGGGGAGAGAGAGAAAGAAAGAGAAAGAAAGAGAAAGAGAAAAAGACATCTGATTTGCAATCCAAAAAATTGCCTTCCATTTTTAGAATAACTGCTTAATAGGATCAATATCGATATCGATGAAATGCCCAATTTTTTCGATGAAGCAATGAATTTCAACTTTGTATTGAGCCACTCAAGTATTGCATCATTTTTTCTGATAAATCGTCCTGAAATGTTTACAGCTGTTTGATATAAATTATTTAATTTTCGCAGCGTCGAATTATCTTGCAAAATTCAATCGGAAATAATGAGATGATGTAAGAAGAAAAAGTCAGCATGGTGGATGCCATGTGTCCACAAACACGTCAAGAAACTCAAAACTTGAACTTTACACTTTGAAAAGTGATTTTCATATGTAACTACTGGAAAAATTTTATGAAAGTTTGGTATGTATTAGGTTGAACCGAAAGTTCTGTCGCACCATTTTCAAAAAATCATAACTTCTTTCGGTCACGACGATTTTCCGCAATTCAAATTTTGTATGAAAGCGTAAAGCAAGTAGCTTCCAAGATTTTCCTGAGGACTTTCCAAAGTGCTCAGGTTGCAGAGATAAAAATGAAAGAACGAGATCATCCGAAATTCGGAATTTTTAAGCAAGAATTCTAAAAATTTAGAAACTGTGCGATAAAATCCAGAAAAGCCATTATCCTAATTTTTCTTACATTTGATTACTAAGCGAGTCAAGTTTGTGCTGATCGAGGTCTTCTTTCAGAAGTTATGAATTTTTGAAAAAAATGCCAAAAAATCCATTTCTTAAGAATTCTTAGGAAATTGATTTTTCGGCTTATTTTTCAAAAAATCATAACTTTTAAAAGAAGGACTTGATCAGCACAAACTTGACTCCGATAGTAATCAAATGTAAGAAAAATTAGGATAATGGCTTTTCTGAATTTTATCGCACTTTTCTGAATTTCTAGAATTCTTGCTTAAAAATTCCGAATTTTGGATTATCTCGTTCTTTCATTTTTATCTCTGCCACTTGAGCATGTCGGAAACTCTGCAGGGAGCTTTTGGAAACTACATGCTTTACGCTTTCAGACAAAATTTGAATTGCGCAAAATCGTCGTGACAAAAAGAAGTTATGATTTTTTGAAAATGGTGCGACAGAACTTTCGGTTCAACCTAATATTATTTGAGGGACCTTTCCTTCCACTTTTATTCGACATATAACTTTCTGCTTGAATAGATCTATTGTTCCTAATATAGCCGATTTAAGAAGAGATATTGTGTCCCTTCTGCAAGAAGGAAAGAAACGAAACGACATTTCTCTTTGAATGCTCAAGACAGCTCGTCTTCGAAGCAAATATAACCTTTTAAAGCAAAGACAAGTTTGAATGACACTCTTTTTGTTATTCTAGTTTCTCATCTATACAAGTTACAAGGTCCTGTGAACTTGTAAACTTTTGAAAAAAATAGTTTGTACTTTTTTTCACCAAGTATTTCAAACGTTAACTTTAGAAAATATTATCTTATAAGCAGAGAACGAAAAAGTTCCGATGATGTTTTTGTTGTTGTCTCCGTATTTAACGACAAAAGTGAAAATTTTCCAGAATGACTCGTCAACGTGATTCAGGGACAAACATACGGTAGAAATCCGTAATCACTAAAAAATTCTCTTAAGGCCAGTCAAAACATGATGTCACAAAAGTAAAGCAGAACCTTGAGAGATTAAACCTTCAAGAATTTTTTGCACTGTTTGAAAACACACGTGTTTTTTACAAGCCTTCATCCGAAAACAAGAACTTTTGGTCAAACACAGTTAACTATGAATATCTTTATGCAAATTAACACGTTGACGACGAGCCATTTTTTGAAGGTCTGTCCCTGTGGACGAACCGCTTCCGGGCATTTTTACAGCCGGCTGCACATATATATGCATGCATCTATGCGTGAGAATGCAAATGCAAGTGGGCGGGGCAGCTCCGCCCACTTTTGTCAAGCCCCGCCCACTTCTCAAAAATGCTGGAAATTGCTCAAAATTAATGAATTCGTGCAAATTCCGGCATTTTTGAAAAGTGGGCGGAGCTTGCCACAGAGGGGGTGGAGCCTGCATTACGGGGGGCGGGGTCAAAATTAAGATTATTTGAGGTTCCCCTGTCATCTATGAGCTTTTCTATGCGATTTGAGAACGAAGAAAGTTTTTTGTAGAGGGCAATGGAGTGGGCGGAGTTTGCCAAAAAGGGGGCGGGGCCAACATGAAATACTTTCGAGCCTAACTTGATTATATGAACACAAATTGGGACCATTGTGCACATTAAAACTGATGTTTAGGGTGTCGCGCACCATTGCGCGACGTCGTCCACAGGGACAGACTGCCTGTCGCGCACCATTGCGCGACACCGTCGTCAACGTGTTAAGACTGAACAAATATTTTCTATGGCGAAGATCACCAATTTTCAGCTTGGAAGATTCCCGTGACACCTAAAGAGTGTTCAAAGCTCCCGAAAAAATTTCATACTTTCGATCATTAACATATTTTTGCTATGATATATTTCTCCAATCTTTAGGCACCATTCAGCAGATCTGACTCTGACTCACATTTATGATAGAACAAATCACTCTCTCACTCAACTCTCGGAACTGTAAGATTACGATAGGAGTTT